CCCCTTTTCCCACTGAAAGTGCTATGATCTCAGTAAAAGTGGTTTGAAAATGGCTGTCAGATTAGACCAGGCTCTTCCAGGTGTGGAGTTTGTAAGTCACATGACATCCTTTCCTGCTTCTCCACTTTTGAATGATGACAACACCAGTGGTGTAAAGTCTCTTTGTGTATATCATATTCTATTTTTTTCTTTTGTTTGGAATATTTATGTTTTTAAAATAACATGAAACAAAGCAACTTCAGCTTTAAAAATCATCAGTAAAAGAAACAGCAAAGCACCCAAAAACATTTTGGCTGATTTAATTTTTTTATTGAAGATTTATGCTCAATAACAAAATGTTTATGTATCTTTGGAAACAGATGGGAGAGAAACATACACTTGCCTCTCAGGAGAATGCTTCCCACTGCTCCAGAGCTGCTAACAAAAAAACCCTCAGCTCCCTGCAGGAATCCATCTCTAAGGCCTAGGAACTTCTGGGGATGCTTCATTTTGCACTATAGCCATTCTCAGTTAGTCCTACCATGTGCATGGCAGTGTCACTTTCATTAAGAAAATAAAAGATGAATTAGAAATGTTAGCAGTTTGTCTCTAGAAGAATGGGCAGCATCTCTTCAAGACAGATGGAAATGTAAGAACCCCATGCCAACTTGATTTGCACACTTCTTCCTTCTTTGCCAATTTTCCTGATACGGAAACTTTGTATAGTGGGGGCATCCTGATGCTGCCAGCTCCTTCCCTATTTAGGAAGCCAAATTGTCTACAAACCAGTGAGTCTAAGAAAGTCCAAGTTTGCATGTTGTTTATCCTTGTCATGGTTGAATTTTGATAATGCAGTGTTTGGCCAATTGGTTGCAATATTTTGCAAAAGCAAGCTGTTGTCATGAGAAAATAGTGATGGGCCTACTCTATGCCTACAAACAGGAGCATACAAACAAACATTTCCATGGAAATGACACGAAGAGACATTTGCCCTGTGAAGCCATCATATCTTCCCAGGAAGAGATACAAGACTTAGGGGAAATGCAAATATGAGATAATGTTGAAAAATCTCATCAGATGCATATATTATATAAAATGAAACTGAAAACAGCAAATGACTTTTTTTCCCCAACGAAGTTCTTTCTTCTTAATTCAGCAGCAAGGTCAAAGATTGCCTCTGTTTTGATCTTCTGCAAAGAAATGGATCTATTTTTGGATATACCAGACTTTGCTAGCATATGACTGGTTCTGTCATGAATATTTTCTTGTGTGAACCAGGTCTTTTTAATGATTATTTATACAGCACCTTCTGTATTCATGGAGCTTTACCATGTCCCATGAGAAGCTTATAATCTAAAATCTAAGAAAGGGGAAAAGTAAAAAGGAAGTATAATAAAGTAGAGTTGGAGAAAACAGCATAACAACATGTGTTTATTCAACTGCATGTCCTTAAGTTATTTTTTGAAGAGAATATCATTACATGAGACCACTGGGTTCAGAAAGCTTGGATAAAACTAGCAAAATGGGCAATTCCAACTTAACAGGATCTACTTGGGCCATTCTTTTAGGACAAACTAGATGTGAAATTTAACTACAATTAGCCCCAGCTGTGGATGATTACTGAGATTGGAGCAAGCGTAGAGGAGGATTTTAACCTTTTTCTTCACTGCTCAAGTTCTGAAGAAATAATTCTTCTAAAGATGGTGTTTGTTTTGGGGGTGGATCACATCAAGGCCAGTGGAGTCTAAACAAAGAACATTTTTAGAGGCAGATTTTCCTTGTGATTCAATCAGAGAAGGAAAATGTGAAATCCCAGTAAGTTTCAGCTATGTCCAGTTTGTATTTTTTTTTTAAAAAAATAGTGTCTTCAGTAAACTGATCTTGCACTATTGCTGTCTGATCTGATATAGGCTATTTGCAGCTTGTAAATAAAGGCCCAGAAAATTGCTTTCTTTAAGGTAGAGATGAGATGTAAAAGAATGTCCTTCAGATGCTTGGTTGAAGCAAGCCCCAAATATTTATCCTAATAATACTCAGTGCGCAGTTAGCTGGGGCTTCATCAGTTTTTGTAGATTAATTTGAAGGGCTGTTTGTGTGTCTGGGAGCACTTAGCATTAAGTGAACTTTATTTAATGTAGCGAAGCTGTTACCATTTTCCAGGTTCTGTGTCTGCAAAGCCATCAAGATACTGGCTTCATGACTGCAACATTCATTAGTTTTAATTGGATACCTTAAATTTATAAAATCATAGCCTGTTGTATCTACAATAAATGGGTTCTGCAGGAAAATAGAGAGGATTTTGATTGGTAGCAAAGTGCAGCTAAATAATTAGAGTAATCATTGGATGTATATGCCAACATCTTGTTTAGGTATGAAAAGCAGAATTAAAGAAAGCAGTAAATGATTAGCACTGACCCAACATCTTGTTTAGGTATGAAAAGCAGAATTAAAGAAAGCAGTAAATGATTAGCACTGGCCCACTCACTCATCTATAAGCCCAATTTGGACTCATGAGTTTCTTTACTGTATTTGGGAGTGGAGGATTGGGAGGATAGTAAAAATTTGGAATAATCATGTAATCAAGCCATTAATAGGTACTCTGCACTTTTAACCTGGCGTCTATTATCCCAGGTTATCTTAGCTGAGAAAGATCTTTCCCATCATCCACCACTAAGATCTTTAGAAATAGAAGATGTCAGCAATTGAGCCTTCTGCCCACAGAGCATGTGCTTTGTCATTGAGTTAAGATCTTTCCACAGAACTACAATTAGTTATTTGAGGACGAGGTCCACAAGACCCAAACAAATTTAAAATAAACTTACAACGGCAGGCCTTGGACTGTAATATCATGAACAGAATACAACAACCTCTTTAGAAGTAATCTCCACCCAGAGTGTGATCCCTGTCCTGTTATATGCTTGGTTGTTAATTATGTATTTATTCTCATTAGTCTGAAAGGGTCCTATAGCATAGGCATCTGAGGGGTCAGTGAAGGAAGGGGCAAATAATGACACTTACACGATGACATGACCCAAATGATACCACATAATTATTAGATTATTAAAAATCAGATCTAAAAAGACATGACACAGAAGGAAAAAGTAAAGGTTGAGAAAAGTAAAACAAAGATCTGTTACGCACCAGTTTAGAGTATTCTGAGAGCCCACCTTAGCTCAAAACAGCAGTAGTGAGAGAAGATGGCAGATCCTCTCTTTCTTCTCCTGTGCTTAATCATAGGCTGTTGGGGTTGGGTTAGGTCACCCTGGCCTAGCTGTTTGAGGCAACATCAAGGGGAGATAGCATTTCTTAACAAATTGGTGCAATTTTGATCAAGAAAAGAAAAGGAAAAAAAATCTTAACCTAAATGAAGAGGGAAGAACACATTTGGCCATGAACTTTCTCATTGGACCTCTTGTGTCAGCAAAACACTGCCCAAGCATTTGGGCTGAGCGAATTTAGGATGTGTCATAAGTCTGTTCCTTATCACCATCTCATTTTGGTCCTCCTGTCAGTCTATCTGAGGTGTATTACAATACCATTCTGTCAATGTCCCTGAATTTCACTGAGCAAAGTATATTTCTTGGAATGGGAGAAAGAAAGGGTAGCACAGGCTCCACTTTCAGTCATCCATCAGAGGATCAGGAGCTCCTGGGAGATTGCAATCCCGGTTTTCCAGGAAGTATATAATGGGAAGAGGACATTGGCCTATCTGTTTACAGTGGCAAGAAAAGGGCAACTGCAAAGAGTTTGCTTTGTATTTTGCTGCTTCCAGTTGCCCTGGGACTAGAGAGCCACACTGCACCTCCATCCGTCTGCCACAGGAAATCTTGCCCCATCTGTCATCCAAAGGAACAACTACCACACATTTCTATTTAAGCTTCAGGAAGTTAAAATCAACTCAGACTGAACTATGTATAAATGCCACCCTACTGCTTACCACTTCATTTTGGCCTTGAACAATCAATCTGATTCTTCTTCTTTTCCTATAATTTCTCATCCCCCATGTGCCTTGTTGTCCTTGACTTTAAGCCTCAGGGCAGGTCCAGCCCAGTATCTCTTTTTTATGACTTGAGCTATTTTGGCAAAGAAAACCGTCTGAAAAGTAGGATATAAATGCAACAAATGAGTAAGAAATGTGTCAGTGTTTGGGGCTTCTCCAGAATGCTATAGTTGCCTGGGAAGCATATCTGTAATGTAGCATGGCATCCTAAATCAGCATGTGATCTGGGTAATCTCTTATCTCAGGGATGTAGGTTGTATCAGCCAGAATGATGATTTCCCAAGGCTGAAGTTAAAGCATGTTGGACTTGCCCTCAATTTCAGAGCTATCATCTGAATTAAATACAATCTAACAGAGTCAAGTCCTGTGCCAGTAAGTGAAAATGAAAATGTTTTCCTTTCTGTAGTCCCCAGTGATAGGGTAATAAAATAGGTCAGCTCCAGTTTCCCCCTGTTCCGGGGTGGGTCATCCAGAGTCTCTCCTAACTTGTCCCCTCCAAATCCCTGTTGATGTTGAATGCCTTTTACCTCCTGTGTCATCAGAATTCTGATTGCAGAGGAACAATAGCACCGAGGAAGTTCCCAAAGATAAAAGTTTTCCTCTGCCCCCATGGCCTTTGTTTGATGCTACACAAAGATATCCATAAAATCCTATGACTACTGCTAAGGCCCATAGGATTATTTAGTTACTTAGGAAATTTTTATATCTAGTCATTGATTGATTGATTCAACTGGCATCAAAATTGCATAGGAAAAAGCATATTTTATGGCATTAAATGATGGATTATTAGAGCGAGGTACAATATGATTTGACAGCAACAATTTTTAAAAATGTATTTATTGATTGATTTGAATTTATTAGTCACCCAACTTCAATGGACTTACAAATGCTTGTAAGTAGAATAATATATTTTTTAAAGCTGCTGACTGAATGATTGAACTTTTTAAATACCCAGAATTTTCGATTGGACTCCATCTTGGAACCCTCTGTTTGCTAATGCTGCCTTTCTCCCCTTTTTCAGTTGGATTGCGCCAGTTCGGCTCCCAGTGGCCCATGCAAGCTATTGACTCAGTGGAAAGCTCTGATGATGAATTCTTCGATGCACGAGGTTTGTAATCCTCCTCCGTTGGTTCAGAGCTATCAAGTTTTCAGGGAGTTTCGCATGCATTATCTATGTGTATATTTTACATTTATGCAGTTTTCTTAAAATTTAAAACTCTACAGTGTTATTCTCCTTTTAGGATTTTACTGAAAACTATTCCTGTAGTCTCTTTAGCATCAGCCTTGCAGAAAAGTATTTGTAATGTACTTGGAGAATCTCTCCCCAGAGGATAATTTATGGCTAATTTCTTTTTTTAAGAAGCGGAGACGAAGATGCTCTAGCCACCAGTGACCTGAGATTGGGTAATTGGGGTTTTTCCACTTTGGAGAGGATTGCCCATCTGCATGCAATGGGTGAATATTTGTATCTAAAATACAAATTAGTTAAGGAATGTTGGACATGTTGCTCCAAGTACGAGCAACACAATGCAAATTTTCTGTCACATTGAGTTCACATTTCTTGCAATATGTTGGGGTAATCTCCAGTTTTTGCTTGCTGCTTGATATGGCTCCCCCCTCCCCAATCAATTTGTTCAGGGACTGAGAATTTAATTTGATATTGTGCCAAAACAAGGCTGTGGACCCTCAGTGTAGATGGCTCACATACCATAGTTTAGGTTAACTAAAAATAAAGCGAGGAGAAAATTATAATCCATCCTTCTCTGCAATTTTGTTTTTGCTGAACAGAGAAACAAAAATGCCCTTTTCAAAGCAGGCATAAGCTCTTAGATCAAAGCCCTGCTCTGGAACTTCTCAGCTAGCTCAAAAATTATGCCACTGTGTTGTGAGTAGAGGGCTTCTTCTGGACATTGAACACATTGTTTTGCCTTGATTTTGAGCCAGCTATCTGTCTTATACATAAAAGGTCCTTATGCAAGAAACCACAAGATTTTGGAAGGCTTTGGGATGAGAGAAGTGCTGGCTTACATCATTTATCAAAAGTTCTGTGCATTTCTCTTAAGTGAACTTTTCTGCTGCTTGCTTTAATTTAAGTGGGATTTCTGTGGTGGAATTGATCACTGGATTATCATCAGTGTGTGAATGGAGGTAGCCTTTTTGTTTGTTTGGACTATGAATGGTCTTAGTTCTACTTCTGGTGAAGATATAGCATGGGAAAAAAGTTTGTACATTAAGAAGTTTTTTTTCCCAGATTTGTTTCCAGATCTTACAAATTGCCACAATTAATTGCTTGCTCAAATGTTGTGACTTGGAACTTTATTTTGGAGCCAGGCAGACTTTGTAGCTGCAAACTGTGCCCAAGGATCAGGGATCTCTGCAGCCAAAACAACTTCTATGGGCTGTTTATGTTTTCTTTAATTTATCTACTCTAGAACCTATTTATTTCCTGATTTCCTGCAGGTAATGCCATGGAACAATTACTTAGGTCCACCTTAATCACTCTGATTAATTCTAGATCCTCTAAATTTAACCACAGATATATTCTCTCCTTAACTCAGGCTGGCCTTAGAAGTCTGTGGGCTCTACTGGACCATTGTAGAGATAAAAAGCTCGCAATAAACTATTCTAAAACCAAAACTGGTTTTGGAACGAATTAAATATATTTAATTAATTAATTGGAATCTGGCATGAACTAATTAAATATATTTATAACAAAACCAACAGCAGTGCTAAGGCCATACCAGGCTTCTTTCACACCAAAGGAGGCAGGAAAATAGCATAAAACTCTTTCAAGGCAGATCCATCTCCAAGATGTTATATGGTTCTCAGATATGTTGTATATATAATAATTTAAAGCCCATAGATATCATCCAGTCCAGATTCCTAAGAGTGCTATTCTGAGTATCTTGCTGCATGTTAAATGTAGCACTCTGCTTAGAATCTGAGATATTCCCACTGGAATCTAGGGACCTTATGCACTGGCTCTATTTCTAGGAGAAGCTTCACTTTTTCCAGCAATTCTTTGGCTGCCATGATCTTTCTAGATATTTTTCCTTCTTTCTGGAAAAGTAGAATGATCTTTATCAATGTGAATTCTCATGTCAAGCTATCTTAGCCATGTGGCTATTAAGAGCTAGAGCTGCAATCCAGCAGCCAGTGTTTGATGTAACTCTCCAAGTAGATCAGGACACCTTAGATAACCAATACTGGCCTAATATAAAAAGGGAAACCTTCATGTCAGCAAATTACTTATTCAGTGTTACTTGCTAATGCACTGTAGAGCTCTTTGGCCATTTTAATGTTTTGTTCTCCGCAATATGGGAGGGACAATATAACACTACCTTTTTTTCAGAGCAAACCTGCCTATCTGACCTGGAGGAATCTGAGATTCCAGCCCATGTGTTCTTTTAGATTATTCTTTTAGATTCTTTTCTACAGCAATTTGCATCACACCCTTATAATTCTGCTTACTAATAGAAGTTCCATTCATTCTGAGGATTAATTATTTGCTTTTTACTGTCAGACCAGAAGTTTAATATCTCCAGGAGAATGCATAATTTTTGTTAATCTCACTGGTCACTGACCACAATAATATTTGTGTGTGTGTGTATGTGTGTATATAAATATTCTGTTACTTGTATTTATAATGTTTTGTTGTTTGAAACTTTTTATTTCTGTCAATCATCTAGAAAATGGAAATATATCTAAATCTGAGCCCTGTCATTCTTTTACAAAAATTGAATAAAATGTTGGTCAGTGACCGTATTAAAGATACTACTACTAATATGAGCACTGATATAAATTCTGTAAAGATCATTATTGTGCATGGATTAATGCAATAAGTTTTATATATTGGCATGCATAAAATCAGTTTTGCTTCCTATGTCAATTACTGAATACACTTAAGAATGGTATTACTTTTGATTTCTCATAATTAATGATAACCTCATTTTCCCTGGGGAAAAGGACAAGGGGCCTAAGACATCTCAGACCTACTAAAGATACAAAGAGGATGAAATTGAAACTGAACCAAAACAAGCTTGTTGGCCACCAAAGGGTAGTGAGCACTGAAATTCTACTCTGGATGCAGATTGTACCTTCAGATTTATATAATAATTGGAAAAATGGGAGGCAAAGTATAACCTGTTCATTCTTTTCTGAACTGGTATTTTGGGGATACATAAGGCATATCACTGAGAGCCACAATGGACCTATATGTTGCTGTGCTCATGAAGTTTCATAATTAAAGTTAAAAGATACTGATCAATGAAGAAGGCATTAATTTTCTCCTATAGCTTATTCCTGGAAATCAGGCTGATTATTCCTGGGAATCAAGTTGATTCCTTAACCTTTACAGTGAATCCAACTTTGTTTTTTTCCTGGAAGAATGTTCAAGACAGTTTCTGAGTTATTTCTCTTTATCATATTATGCTGTGAGTAAGAAATTGAACATTGTGCAAAGCTGTGCAAGTTTATGTTCTTCTCTAGGAGGCAGACTGGTTCTCTTCGAAGAAAAGAAGGACTAGATTGAAGTAGGTATGTATTGGTGCCAGTATAATGATATGACTGGATGAAACACTGAATTGGAAGTAGGGGGAAACGGACCTGACTGTTGAGAGTCCAGCTGTTTATATGGCACTTGGAGCAAATCAAATCTGCAGAGGCTCTGGAAGAAGAGAAATTCCAGTATAAGGGTCAGCCACAAGGCCAACAATCACATGTCTCCTCCATAACTAAGAAAAATAAAAGCATAAAAGGAACCTTTGTGAACATCTTCTTTGGTGATGTGATTTGGCCATAGTCATTTTGACTAACCCCTTCACCCAGGGCTGGCTTTAGGCTAAAGCCAACTAGGCTCTGTCCTAGTTGGATGTATGCAAATCTTTTCATCAGTGGGAGGTGGTGCCATCAGTCAATGTGGCCTAGGCACACCTTATAACACTTGAGCTGGCCTTGCATACACCAGTGGTCTTCTGGCCACACGGCAATGGGCAGAGGAATACAGTGGCATCTTCATCTCGGCCATGCTGTGCAGGGTGGCCAAAAGGGCAGAGATGGGGGGAAATAGGTGGGTGTCCTGCCTGAGCTGCCCTCCGGGGTGGCAGCAATGGAGGAGGAAAACCCTATGGGGTCCCCCCTCCAAGGCTGTGCCCACCACTGCCTGTGTGCAGTGGAGCTGGTGCTGCTGCTGGCTATGCTGGAGTTTGCCTTGCAAAGCCCGTTCTGCACACAGTTCTTCTGGGATCACCTTGGCATGGGCACCAGCACTGGCAACGGCACTGGGGGTAGAGAGGCCAGCAGTGGCTGTCTCAACAACACCGGTTCTGGGCAGCAGGTGTGGGTGTGAGTTGTTTTAGTCCTTCCTTCCCCACTTGCCGCCTCCCTCTTCCCTACTGTGGCCCACAGTGCTTGCAAGGCAGGGAGCTGCGCCTCTTCCTGCTCCTAGATCTGCAAGGGTAGATGCCCCTGAACAGGGAGCTCTCCTGACCAGGCCACCCTCCAGGATTCTCACCTGCAGAGCTGTGAAGAAGGTAGAGAAAGACCAGGCAAGGGAGAGTGCTTGGGTCCCAGAGCTGGCACCATTTCCGCATGCAGCCTAACGTTGGGCCCTTCCTGCCCTGGCTGGCTGGGGAAGTGGGAAGAGAGCAGCTGGCTCTTTTCCCAGCCTGTGCCTGCCGGTTACTCTGAGGACAGCCCTGTGGGTTGGAACCTTTCCGCTCCTTCTGCTAAAAGGATTTCCAGGCTGTTGGGGGCAGCAGTGGTGGAATGCAGAGCCCTCTTCATCTCAACCATGCTGTGCAGGATGGCCAAAAGGGCAGAGATGGAAAGGAAGATAGAGGCGGGGAGAGTTGAAGCAGAGGCAGTTCACAGAGGCAGGAAAAGTGTGAGGTCCCCACCTAACGAGCATGTGGTCCACTTAACGAACACAGCTGGGTCTACTGGGACTGCCATCGCTAAGCAGAGGAGTCATATTTCAGCAACTGCTTTGCTTAGCGACGGAAATGTCAGTCCGAGTTAGGTTTGTAACCCAAGGACCACCTGTAGATATTTTGGGCTGTAATGCCAACAATCCCTGGCCTATATGACAGTGCTGGCTAGAGCTAATACAAAATTCCAAACTTTATGGAAGCCACTAGGTTGCCTACCACAAACTGTCTTTTCTTTCTTTATGGTATTGTGTCCCTCCTAATCATCTAGCAAAGATGCATTCAATACTTTTTGCTGAATAGCCTCTGTGGTACTCCCCTCCCTCTGCCATTTTCTACTCTATGGAAATGGGAATAGGAAAATGATCTGCAGAAGCTTTTCTGTTTTTTTTAAACCAAACACCTTTTTGTGACTTCATGTCTTTTCTGATCACTATTCTCTTCTTTGATGCTGCTGCTGAAAAATGGGCAGCTGCTATTTTTGGGTTTGTTCAGCTAGATCTGTCATTTAAAGCATGAATGGTATGTGTCCTCAGACATAAGTTTGAACAGAGACTCAGAGATTCTCCATAGCAACCACAGGTACATGGTGACAGGACCAATGTCAATATTGTTATATTCAGAAGCTCTTTTCTTTAAAATATTAATAAAACCTGGGTTGGTCTATCTCTTTGTTGTGAGTGTTCTCTGTGTGTGTGCATTTTATTTCTGCTGATATGAATTACAGATTTTTAATATGTACTATATATCTGTAATTCACATCAGCAGAAATAAAATGCACACACACACACAGAACACTCACAGGATTAGATTAAAATCTTCCATAGAGAAGACACAATAAGGAGTCTTTTTTTTCCTCCTGCTAAATCCACTTCTTGAAAGTTATAGTGTGAACTTTAAAGGAAGCTGCCATAGGAACAAGCAGGAGCTTCTCTTAAAATGAAAATGTCAATTTCTGAGTAAATATGCATGGGTTTTTTAAAAATCCAGTCTACTTTAGTGTCTACATTATTAGGCAGTATTCCAGCCTGGCAGATTATAAAAAAACCTGTAGAGCATTTCACTGCTATTTGTCTGTAGAAAATGTAATATATAAGTTGAATGCAGTACTTAAGGAGATTGTGTAGTAAAACAAGAATTTTTATTTTTTTATTTATTAAACAAAAGAAACTCTGAGCCAAGAATGAAATTAGACTGAATATGAAAGAGAATGACCAGTAAAAGAAGTAAGTTGTGGTAGTTTGATCATTCAGAGAGAATGAATGAGGATCAAATTGCAAAACAAATATATGAAAGAAGATTGAATGGATTGAGAAGAAAGGAAAGATAGAGAAAGGGCTTAGGTAGAATACAGGTGGGAAGGAAACAGTCCTTGAGTATTGGGCTGAAGTTTCTTGAGGGCAGAAGGGTACATGCTGGCAAAGGACCTTTGCAGAACTGGGCACTTATGGATCATGGGTGCAGTGAGGCTAGAGATTACAAAATGACCTGATCCTGACAAACCTGTAGTTGCACTTGGCTGTACTTTTTATTCATATTGATGTCAGCATATGCATAGAATGCAAGATATGAAATTTAGGACAGCAAAAAATATAGTACACCATTTTTCATACAGCTTGCAAATCAATTTATGGAGTTTACTGGAGCACAGTTGAGGACACACAATTGCTTTCATGGTAAGTCTCTTTCAATAAATTTGCCCATCAGTAGTTATCAGTTGTGATGATCATATGGCACTTCCATATTTTGAGATATGAACATGTTGGAAGAGGGTTGTTACCATCACTGTCCTATGAGACTTTCAGGAGAATAGTGAGATTTTTAGAAGCATCCAGTTAACCCCTGTGGGAAGAAAGATTCTGGTTTAGAAGGGATTAGGCAAGTTGGTATTCTGCATATATTTTGGACAACAATCCCTTTAATTCCTGACCATTGATCATACTGACTGAGGCTTATGAAAACTGTAAATATCTGAAGGGCACCCAGTTGATTATTCCAAGAGGATCTATCTTGACCTGATCTGTGGGGCTGTTCATATGATGATAAAATGCCTGGAAGGGAGAATCAATCCCAGTTGTAAATGATTGGAGCATTCAACAAAGCAATTTTATAAATATGCTTCCTCAATGAATGAATGAATCAACAGCAGATGGCTCCTCTTGATTTCTGTTTGATGTATTTTATACACAATGAATGGCAGTGACTTTTGCGCTTGATAAAAGGAAATGTTTCGTTCAGGAACACCTGGTGTAAATACCTTCATTTTAGAATTTTTCTTTCCCTGGTTATTCTAAAAGGAAAAGAAGGGAGCTTTACATGTTCCTTTCTACACTATGCTTAACACTGCTGACAATTTAAAGGAGGGCAGCCTTGGAGTCAAATCTCATGGAGGTTTCCTAAGATGGAACAAAACCTGCTTCTGTGTTTGAAATGGGGCTAGAGAATCCATAATTAGTTGCAGACCAGATGATTTGCTCATGATAGAACACATGCTTTACCCACAAAAATGTTCAATCTTCTATCTGATTTCAACCACTATTTATCACCTGTGACAGATTCAATGGGGCAAAATAAACTACAGCTTAATCCAAACAACAAAAAAATACTTTGATGGGTGGGTAATCTGACTCAGGTATGGTTATGCAGCCTGTCATGGATGAGGCTGCAGTCCCACTGGAAGATTACATTAACAGTTTGGAAATGCAGTTCTCTTAGACGTAGGTGACAAAAACGGGGAAAAAAGCCTTTTTCCAGCTTTTGTTGGGGCTCCAGCAATAACTAATAAAGCCAGATCTTACCTCCATGTATGCCTTGGTTACTTCCAGACTAAACTGCTGTAATCATACTATGTGGGAATGTCCTAGTCCTTACAAGCTGCCAGAAACTGCCATGAATACAAATAACTACAGCCAGGATATTGTATGGGCACAAGTACCTTGACTATCTCACAACGGTGTTGTTTGCTATACATTTGCTTCACCACTTTTTTCCAGGCTCAGCTCAAATGGTTGGCATTAAATTTTAAAGCCTCCATGATTTATGGCCTAGGCAACTCAATGGAGGCCTTTCTTCTCATATACAGGTAATCCCCAGGTTAAGAACACCCAGTTTACAGACGATCCACAGTTAAGAACGGAGCCTATTGTAGCAAAATTTGACTTAAATACACAATGATTCAAGTTAAATACACAATGGT